AGCAACGCACCGTGAGTTAATCTTCCAAAAGCAAACCGCAGGGCAGTCGACGGAAATACTGACCTAGGGAACAATAGATCGCTGTATTATGAACATTGCGTTGCCTTTGACATAATGCATTTTGACACCGGTACCTACTAGGTACATTCTTGCAGCCTCTCGAGGGTACCAGTACCTGGTACTGTACTACTCTAAAATATGGAAAGAGTGATTGACGTTATCAAAATCCATTTTGTATGTATTTTCAAAAACTGTTCACCGTATCCGTGAATGAACCATTTATTTTAACAAAACCCGACCAAACCGAAAGCTGGATATTGTACGAGGCGTCGAGGGTGGGGATTAGCAATGGCGTTGTACTGTCTATCGTTTCAAAAACAGTTCATACCATGCCAACAAAGTGGCAATGAGTGGACGACATCACAACATCAAGTGGCAACAACAGGAAAAGTCACATGGAGTGATCCGATTGCTTTCGATTAGTACATATTATAATATGAAGTATGGTAATGCGTATTTGGGCCCCTTCTCAACAACATTCGCCCGGTGAATTACATTCATTGTCTCCCACTTGGGTAAGACATTGGCAACAGCCATCGCAATTGCAACTATTTCTCCCAACTGTCATCGGTTGCCCAGCGGTGAAAGCATGAACTCCTGCACATGCTCTGTTGCCATTACATGATCCTTCTCCAATAACAATGGCTGATCGTGCATAACATGCTCTTTGTACGTTTACTGCTTGAGTTTGATCATCGTATGAAAAAGCGTTGCACGAGTTGTCTGCAACAACCCCAATTACAGATGCACATGATTGCCATCCCGTGCATGCGTTGTTTCCAATTCTTGTGTTAGCCCTCACATACTCGCAAGCTTTCCCCTCATTATTTGTTAAGCTTCCTCGACAAGAGTTATCACCAATTAATACTCCCTCCTTCAGACCTCTGCAAGCGTAATGGTTCAGGCATGATCCTTCTCCAACCTTGAAGTCGACTGGGAATTTTTCACATGTAAGCCACCCAACGCAAGATTCACAACCAACCTTATCCCTGACAACTCTAAGATCACCACAAGCTGCACCGCCAAGACAAATAGGGCAGAAACTTGGCGCCATAGATAAGGATAACGATGGTCTCAGAGATGGACGGAGACTTGGAGCGATAGTTGGAGCTATAGATGGACGGAGACTTGGAGCGATAGTTGGTCCAGGTGTAGGAACTTGGCTCGGTCTTGTTGATGGTATGGAAGTAGGCGAAGTACTAGGACTTTCGCTTGGAATCAGAGAAGGACTTGCTGTAGGTAAAGCACTAGGTCCAGGAGTCGGAGTTATTGATGGTTCAGGAGTTGGACTTGGACTTGGGGGGCTTGTTGGTCCAACCACAGGAGCTAGAGTCGGCCCACTACTCGGAGACAAAGTTAGACCAGGCGAAGGAGCCAATGTTGGTGCTAACGTTGGTTCAGATGCAGGAGTCACTGTTGGACCAGGCGTCGAGAGCGCGGTCGGAGATACCGTTGGTTCAGATGCAGGAGGCACGGTAGGTTTCAAAGAAGGTGATATGCTTGGATTGCCCGTGACAACTAGATTGCTTGATGGCTGCAATGACGGGGACGCTGTGGCAGATACACTTGTTCCCAACACAATATCTTGGATGGCCTTGGAGTTTTCATCTTGGGCATTCACCAACAAATTAGTACTCGCATGAAAGATTCCCTTGACAAGTCGGCTCAAGTCATCGAGGTCATAGCTCGCAACGCCTTGCTTCATATGGACATTAACTAGGAGTTCCACAGTATAGCAAGGTCCGTTTGTTTCGTCTTTACATGGGAACCAAAGGACGTCGTTTTCATCGACTTGTGCATTTCCAAGCGCAAACACACCCAGAGTGGTATTGCCGCATCCAACGATAGGCGGCATTACCAGCTGTTGAATATTCTGCATTAGGCTGGGCAGCCATAATTCACGGTTTAGATCCATAAGCAGATGGATATCCACCTTGACGTCCACCTGTTGCATGTTCATGTCTTCTTGGCCGTCCACAGGAAGCCCTTCTGCTATCTTGGAGCATGCACCTGGGCTTGGTGGATCAAAGACACTTTGTGCATCTGAACTTGCACTTGGACTATTAGTTGCTCTTTCAGCTGGCTCACTAGAAGCTGGTGTCGCAGCTTCATTATCGCCTCCGCCACGACCAGTGAGTGCAACGACAGTGCCAACGGCAGCACCAATCAAAATTAGAGACCCCAGACACAACTTTCCCCAGAGGGGACATTTGCGACGGCGCGATTGGGACTCTTGCTCCTTATCTCGGCGTTGGAGCTCTTGACGCAGTACCTCGTTTTCTCGGTCCTTTTCACGAAGAGCGTTTGCGGTAGATTCCCTTTCCGAATCGTCCACAGCCTCTGCCACAAGTCCAGCTTCCATTTCGTTCGTGGATGGTCCAATACTAGGACTATAGTTTGGTGCATTTCCCGCTAGATAGATCTGCTTTTCTTCGTTTGGGCGAGAGCGGCGGGTTGTGGGCGAACCTGAAGAGGCTTTCGAGGATGGGTGACGGGACTTGCTGGATCTGGATCTACCTTTTCTTCTGTCTCTTCCAGTGGAAGACACTGCTCCAGACTTGCTGGCAGGTGACGATGACGATCTTGATTTCCGCCCACCAGACTTGTCGCCAGAGGCTTTAGAAGTTATCTTGCCTCCGGAGCTACTTTCCTTCTTCCTCTCAGCCCTGTTGGAAGAGGAGGGTACTGCCCCAGGAGAGGTTGGTGGATAATTCCGAGCCCGGCGGCTTCTCTCTTTTGCCTTGGAGAAGTCTCTCGCCTTGTTGCGCTTCAAACTTCTCGTAGATCCTTTTGCACCAGGGGGAGAAGGAGATGGCGAATTTTCATCGTTGGTGGATGTCATGGTCTTGAATTTTGTTGTTGACTTTGCTGGAATAGGTAATAGAGCAGACTGTGTGAGATCCATGATAGACAAATACTGTCGGAACCAAAAATGGAAAACAATGAAGGCAATACTTCAACTTACAACTATACAGAGTATCATGCCCACGCAAAATAATGTGTACGGTAATGTGTTACTCAAGCATGTGGCCGGTAGTCATTACAGAGCAGCACGTCATCATTCGACCGACCACGTGTTTTGTCGCGTCTAGCAACGGCTGCGTCAGGACCGAGTGGCAAATTCGGGCATTTAGCGAAACCGAAACCGCCAAAACCGACTATAGGTTGTGAAACGCGCGCTAATTAGCCATGACGCGGTAAAACTGAAAACTGTTTTCACACGGGGGTATCCTGGAAATCCCGGGGAAAAAAAGGGAACTTTTAGGGAACTTTCAGGGAACTTTTAGGGAACTTTCAGGGAACTTTTAGGGAACTTTTAGGTCCTTGAGAGAATTTTTTACGGAACTTTTGGGAGATTCATTGAGACTCCCCAAATGCTATCCCTGCTTTCCCATCTCGCAAAGAAACTGTTATTATACTTTTCAAATTGTGAATTATTATTATGCCATTGGCATCGGTTTTGAACAATCCAATGCTATCAACAAGGGCACTCTTCACTGTCAATAGCCTACAATGAATACTGGAGCGACTGATAATGCTGGACAATAGTAGTTGAAGGATTGGAGAACTTGCGATGCGAAAAAAGAGCCCAAGAAACCTATCAAGGACAGTGCTGGAGAGACATCACCGAAAACATGGACCCAAACCATGTCTACTAGCAGATGGGCAATGGCGTACATTCGGCCAAAAACTCTTATTTAGAACAAGGTCTTTGTCTTCGCTCACTGGATGGTCACATCTATTATTCAAGAAACCGACAGCCCCAAAGTTCTCGAGTTCAAGACTTGGGCTAGAACTCGGCGGCAGGGGAACTTCAACGAGAGATTGAAACGTTTTGACACTATTGGAACTCGTTTTCGTTATACTATGGACAAGCATGATGTCGTTTACACTGACTTTCTCGTTTTGATTCAATACGATATTGAGAATGGCCGTCCTTTGAATAGCGTCATCTACTATAATTGCAATTCTCTATTATTATTTGTATAGTTTGTCTTTTGAGGGAATATTGTTTCGCAAAAGTTCCCTGAAAGTTCCCTAAAAGTTCCCTGAAAGTTCCCTGAAAGTTCCCTAAAAGTTCCCTAAAAATTCCCTAAAAGTCCCTGAAAGTTCCCTATAAGTACCCGGGAAATTCCCTAAAAGTACCCGGGAAGTTCCCTAAAAATCCCCGGGAAGTTCCCTAAAACGTTCCCTTTTTTTTTCCGGGTGTCCGTCCGGACAAACGGGTCATGTCATAACGTTCGTCTTTTCCGCGCGGAAACACGAAATTTCGATGATCGGAGAATCTCGATTTGCCACACGGTCCAGCTCGGCACGATAATTTAGCGGGGTGTGGTGAGTGGTGAATACACGTGAGTGGAGAATACGCTCCATGCTAGGATTCGGGTTTCGCGCGATTTTTGATTTTCAAAACGTGTTTTGTACGAGCTCCAATGAAGGACTCGGATTTCGGACGATTTTCGTCAGAAGTCAGGCAGTGCGACATGACGGCGTACGTGGAACATTTTCGTTCGCGTTCACGTCGCCGTTCACATACAGTACTGTTTTGACAAAACGTAGGTAGCGGAAAACGCTCCACGTTCCGAAATTGTTGTGCGAGGTCTACCCAGACATACGTACGACGGACATACTGAAATTTTCGAAATCCTTCACTTCATGATTCAGACAATAGGATAAACTAGCTCACAATTTCTCATTCATCTACATTTGCATTGCTAAAGCCCCTTATAACTGCGCCAACAAGCTACTACAACACCAACACTTCCTCGCCAGTGCAATCAAAGAATTGCACTCTTCAACTTCACCTTTGCATTTTCCTTCTCATTCTCACATCAACTGTTGATTGTCCTGGAACATGTCGAAGCCCGACGACTTCAGTCCCTTGGAAGCGATTGAGTTCATCTTTGTCAACGATAAGCACCATCCTGAACCCGTGTACAAAAATCGCTTTGGTAACACCTTGGAACTCCAGGCAGTTCGTCCTGACTCTGAACTCCTACCAGCATTACGAAAGATTGTTGCGGACACCCTCATTGCTCCATATGCAACGGAAGCTAAGGACGCGCAGATCATCCATCAACTTGTTGACATTGCACCCCTCACTGTGTTGAACACGCAGACCGACAGTTCGTGGGAGGCAGCAGGAGAGTTTGTGCTCACCGCCATTGGCGTGGAACCCCCAATGAGCGCCCAGCCTGACATGATCACCACCACTCCCGTCGAATACATGGATAACATGACAAACTTGACTGGTCACTTGGCCATGCCGTCGGCCGAATGGATGAGACCTCTTCCAGCTGTCATCATCCTTCCTGATTGGGATGGTGTCAACACATACGAACAAGAGCGCGCAACGGCCTTGGCCGAACTCGGTTATGTAGCCATGGCTGCTGACATGTTCGGATCTGACAAGCAATTCCCGACCGCATCGCTGAGACTGGAAAATTCGGAGCTGATCCTACTTTGTTTGTGACCCGTGTTGAAGCTGCTATTGCACAAATCAAGATGTTGGGGGATGAAGTCGACACCAATGAAATCGCCATTATCGGATGTTGCTTTGGAGGAACTGTAAGTTGTCAATATCCAGAATCATAGGTCGAAAGTTGCAACATACGGGCAGTATCTCTAACATTCAATAACTTGTTTCTGAAACCTCCAGGGCGGTATCTCTAGCATTCAATAACTTGTTTCTGAAATCTCCAGGCAACAGCAAACCAATATTGTATTGAAAACAGTGGACGATCCGATGAAGATCAATCAAGCGGCAGCCGCACTGTACACCACTTGGTTGGACATTTCAACCGTGTTGGAAAAGGAGTATGCCCGTGTCATCAACTTGTCCATGACACTAGCTGGATTCTTTGAGCGAATTGCCCATTTTATTTTAGAACCACCGGTGAAGATGTGCATTTCACAAGATTACCACAAGTGGGTTCCTGTTGTTATTGGGTTGGATTGCCAAAGCCGCCGCCATGAACATTGCCTGGAGGATTCAACGAGTACTCACCGCCTCTACATCGGCCATGGTGGGGGGTGTCATGTTTGCTCGAGCTTTGTTTCGAATGATTTCCAGAAAAGGCTTTC